ATTTAGGTTCAAACCAAATTGTTGTTACCTCAACCTTCAAATTATTTCCAAGAATTCACGTGGGATTATTTCTTTACTTTGCCTGAAAAAGGCCTTCTACGGGCAGCAGTAATTTGACAATACATTTTCTGCAAATAAGAGCACACATAAGCTGCTATGGAAACAGCCTCAAATACCCAGAATGCATCTACCTGTGACTAATTTAAACAAGGTCAACATCTAAAGAACAAAACAGTTCCTGAACTGACAAAATCCATTTCAAGAGATTTCACCCTATGTACTAATGAAATCCTGAAATCCAGACTCTCAAGACTTGCCATGCACTCACTCTTCCTAACATTATTTTCGAGTTGAGAGCTAAGAATGAATTAAGGCAAAGTAAGTGGTATATAATAAAATCCAATACATAGCAGTTTGATTAAGAATACACACACTGAGATACAAGTATGAAACAGCAATATGGCTCATTTTCCAAGAACGAAGAGATTCTTTCTCTTTATGTAAACCTTTCAGTAGACCTCAAAAAAGAGTAATTTGGCTGAATGCACATAGTTTGCATTTCGCCCCAAAGAAAAGGCTTTTTAAACCTGCATAGGAGATCACTATTCTCCATATCACTTGCTGAAGTTACCACAGTTCCCATTTGTCCTTGTTTCCTTTCAAGATTGGACTGAATGGATCTTCAAATAGCTTCTCCTTGCAGAGATCCAGACTAACACCCGAACTCTAAAATGATTACAGGAACTGCTTTTCCTATACAACATTAACTGAAATTAATGCTGGATTCAAGCTTTTTCAACTATGAGCATGGAGTTAGGAAACTTGGTTCCCAATTTGGAATCAAGAATAACGCCAGCAGAAGGTGTCATAAGAATTGCAACTGATGATACAGATGCCTGCAGGAAAGGAGGGAAAAAGATTTTAAATAAATTTTTTTTGTAGCCTAAAGTTTTATAGAGAAAAATTAAAATAGCACAAGGAAAAATTTTTTAAAAAAACAACTTTGAATTAGGTGAGAAAACTTAATTTTTCTAAGTGTTCCTGTTTTTATCTGTCCATTTTTCAAGACCTCAAGAATTGCATAGAAGAGACATATTGGAAAGACTGAAGTTTCTTTTCATACTTACGAAAAGAACAGGTTGGTGAAAAATACATAAAAGGAAAGTGAGAATGCTTTTCAAACAAACAAAAAACCCTCATAATGGTATTTTTCAAAAGATGCAATACAAGATGTCCTCCTCAAAATTTTAATCAAAACATAGAATTCTGCCCTGGAGAACAATAATTCACAAGAAAATAATTTCTGTTGCACAGAACAACTCAACCTCACAACACATTGCCTATAAAATCTATATTAAATAAGGATAATAAAGGGGAAACAATGAAATTAAAATCTACTATGCTGACCTTACTGTGTAGCTTCAAGGATCACCTAAAATATCTAAATCTGTACAACTACTTGCCTCTTCTGCATTTCTGTTCCCATCCATGTGCCACTGCTGGGGTTCCCCCAACCATGCAATCATTAGCATCACCCTCACCTGACTGGAAGAATATTTAGTAGGTGGAGAAGAGAGATGAAGTGGTAGTTTGGTGGGGTTTTTTGAACAGCTAGTTCTTAGCAAGTTCATTTTCCCACATAGCTATCTGCACTGGCTTTGCATGGCCAGGTTTTGGTAACCAGGGAGCTACAGCCCATGGAGGTCCATGGCGGAGCAGATGTCCACCTGTAGCCCGTGGAGGACCCCACACCAGGGCAGGTGGATACCTGAGGGATGCTGTGACCCCATGGGAAGCCCATGCTGGAGCAGGTTCCTGTCAGGACCTGTGGCACCATGAAGAGAGGAACCTACATTGGAGCAGGTTTGCTGGCAGGACCTGTGACCCAGTGGGGGACCCACGCTGGAGCAGTCTGTTCCTGAAGGTCTGCACCCCATGGAAAAGATCCATTCTGGAGCAGTTTGTGAAGAACTGCAGCCCATGGGAAGGACTCATGTTGTAGAAGTTTCTGGAGGACTGTCTCCTGTGGGATGGGCCCCATGTTGGAGCATGGGGAAGAATGTGAGGAGTCCTACCCTCAAGGAGGAAGAAGTAGCAGAAAAGTGTGACAAACTGACTGCAACTCCCATTTCCCACCCCCCTGAACTGCTGGGGAGGAGAAGTTAGAGAAATCAGGAGTGAAGCTGAGCCCAGGAAGAAGGGAGAGGTGGGGGGAAGGTGTTTTAAGATTTAGTTTTTATTTTGTCGTGATGCTGTTCTGATGTGATTGGTAATTAATTAAACTAATTCCCTCAAGTTGTGTCTGTTTTGTCTGTGACAGTAATTGCTGAATTATCTCTCCCTGTCCTTGTCCTCACCCACAAGCCTCTCGCTACATTTTCTATCCCCTGTCCAGCTGAGGAGAAGGAGCTATAGAGCAGCTTTGGGGGGCATCTAGCACCCAGCCAGGGTCAGCCCAGCACTATCATTCACGATGGATGCCATCACATGTTTGTACATTTCAATTCTAGCATAAGGACATGAGGCTATGTGGAAAAGTATCACCCATGGGATGACCCCTTTGGAGCAGCACAGATTAAATCAATTCTCAAATGAATTTAGCACATGAATGTTCTTTTCCCACTCTCTTTCTATAAACACTTGTATTACTTTTGACCAACATCAGCCCATAACGCCTCTGATTTTTGAGACACAGAGACAGATGGCATCTGCTGTACTCCTGCATACAAGGAAAAAGGCTGTTTTGGGTTTTTTTAAGCAATATTTGTGTGGCACACTGTATGCATAGCAGGAAGAAGTATGTCACATACCCTCCTTTCAGGTACAATACATACCAAATGAAAAGCAGCAAAAAAAATGACCCAACACCAGAGCAGGAGTATCCAAAAAATCTGTAAACATTTCAGAAGTAGTGCTGGCAGATTTAAGATTTTAGTTTATGGCTAATGAAAAAGTGCACAAAACCAAGAAAGCAACATCCTGATGCAAATAATGAAGTAGAGCAAACAAACCAACTCAACATACCCCTCATCCTCTGAACGGCCAATTGTAGTGACCATTTTCATGCACGAACTCGAATTGAAAACTAAGCCCACAGAAAGTCACAAATCCAGCGAGCAGACACGCAGGCTCTTGTCTATGTCCACGGAGAGTGTCCTCTTACACCGTGCAATGGCTAATTAAAGGAGACCAAAGCATGCGACTACAGGCATCTACAGTCACATCCCTTGGACACAAAACAGATTTGGTGCCATAAAAACCTCCAAGACTTTAGTTCACAAGTAAAATACTTTAACCTTTTGTTCAGGAGTGTCAAACTCAGTGAAAGTTTGGAGATGATAGAACAAATAGAAATTTGTTCCTCTCTAGGTAGATGTCCCTGACAGGCGTGCTCAAGTGCTTGCACTAACCACTGGTCACCTCCCACAGGACAGAGTGCTTCACCCTGCTCAGTTCTTGGCAATGCGCTTTTGGGAAAAAAAACCCAAAAAAACCAACCTTTGCTGCCAAGGCAATAAAATTGGTATTTTCCTTTCTCACCTCCACCAAGGCTTCCCACTGCCAGACCACCTGTTTCCAGCCTGGGTCAGGAGTACTTTCTTACCATCCAGGACGTGATAGGGCTGATTAAACCTGGAAGCTCAGAGTAGCTGAAAACCTTTGTAAAAGCTTGGCAATGCCACAGAGTGCTACCAAAGCCTTCAAAAGTTGTGACAGAAAAAATTCTGTCATGGTTTGGATAAAGGTTTGACATCCTGGGTTTACAATAAAATTCTCAAATGATATAGACAGAAGAGAAAAAGGGGTAGACAGCTCAGAGTACCTTCTCCTAAACCCAAACTAACCAATTAACTTTTTTTCACTATTTAAAACTGATTCTTCATAATGAGGTAAATAAGATCCAGATGAGAAGATTAAGATATGTGCAAAGTTATAGTCATACACTCTAGCTCTCATCCAAGAAAGCATGTTTGAATGATTTCATGGGATTTAAGTATGTGTTTAAAGTACTTTTTGAACCAGTGCCTTAGGCTTTAGAGTGTGTACACACTTAAAGACTCACATCATCTCAGGAACGTTTTTTCAGAAAAATAATTCAGGAATAAATGATTAAAGAAAACTATTTCAAGGTGATAAAATGTGTGACCTGAAATTCTCTCTTAAACCATGCTTCAAAACAAAGTTATTTTAAAAACACTGGCTTCTCTCAAAACTTTTTGTTGTGTGTTTTTGGGAGGTTTTTTTAAGAATAAAGGTATTAAGAAACAAAACAACACACACTGTACACACTGTTAGCATTTTAAATAAAAAGCATTTCACTCAAGTAGTGAAGTAAGATTAAACCCATATTTAAGGATTTGATAACTAGTTTTCAAGACAAGGTCTAGAACTACATGCAGAGAAACTGTAACCAGCAAAAGTGAAACAGCTTTGAATCGGATATAGACGTGACAAGAAAATTAGAATGTTAAAACACCATTTTGCAAACTGATAACCATGCAATTAAGAGAGATGCAATCAAGCACATACACTTTGACCACTTCACTACTTTTTAGAAACTATAATAATCCCAGTTAAATCATCACTGAAGCAGGCAAAACCAGTGCCACCTCCACTGCCTATATTTTTTCAGCTTTTTATTTCCAATATATTTCCATTCAAGGAAGCAATGTAAAGATTTTTTTTTTAAAGCCTGATTTGTTAAAGAAAGCTGAGGTCTAGTTCATTTATATTTAATTTTAACAATGTAATGTTACATAAATGCTTTGAAACTAATTCAAGGTAAGGTTTTGTTTGTGCACCTATCTCTCTGCCCTCTGCTCAGAATGAATTTAAGTAATTTTGTATGGTTTTATAAATATCAAAAAGCAATATTCTACTGAAGTGTAATTTGATTTGTTTGCAAATCCCTTTTGTATTGCTTTATGATGCGTAAGCGCATGCAGTTTATTAGGAAATAATAAGCAAAGAAGGCAAGCCAGGCAAGAAGCTTTGCTCACTTTCAAAGTCAAGGAAAAAATTTGGCCCCTGATCAAGCTCTGTGCAAGTGAGAACTTTTAAAAGATTTCCCATTTGGTTCCTGAAAAATAGAAAAGGAAGAGAAAAGTAGTCCTGAGTGAACAAATTATTTTAGAGACAAGGATTTGGACAGATTGGTTGTGCTGGAAAATACACGCTGTAAGCAATCAGATTAAAAAAAAAAAGTTCTTCCTCAGTTCACTGTTAAGTCAGGGAAAAGATTCTCTCATTGTCTTGTAATTGTTGGAACTTACTTTCAAAATCCAGGAAAAAATGTGGACAGTTTTCAATTTCCCTGGTAAGGACCTTAAGAAGATTACCCATCCCAGCAAACCTAGTAAATGCAACAAAATCACAAACAGTTATATACGTAAACTCACAATACTACAACTAAGGGCTTGACACAGTCTGCATCATATATTAAACATCTTGGCAAGTTCTGGATGATGAGAAACATTTTAATGGCCAATTCTGTGATATTTACACATGGGGACAGAGGAGTAGAGACCCTGGATGAACAGAGAAGTAATTCTATTCAACAACTTGGAATTTAAACATCAGTATAACACCACAGACTACAAACAGATATTTATGAGTTTATTTGCTTAGTAAGAGAAACAAACTCAGAACTGTATCTTTATTTGTAACTCCTCTAAATTGCTGGACTCAAGATTTCTGAATACCATTCCAGAGTAAAAAATTAAGTCTTAATCCTTGATCTGGATTCTTTAGCATAAATGTGTTATTTCCTGAAAATAATTTAATTTAAGGAAAAAAAAAAAAAATCCATTTGTTTCTAATAAGTATGGCTTTACAAAATATTACTATAAAAATATATGAGAAAGAAAAGCTTAAAAACTTGTTCCTTTTAACTTTTAAAAATGTATTTATGCATTTTTGAAAGGAAAAAAAAAAGAAAAAAAAAAACCAAACAACACCTCTTTTTATCTGTTATTCCTATCTTTTATCATCTTGGAAGCCTTTGCTTTTCAAGTTACAAAAAACTCCAAAAAGGAAAAGTGACCAATTCACAAAAAAAAGTAAGTCTCTATGGAAGACAAGAAGGAAGGAAACTGAAGAAAAGTTTTTTACCAGTACAGTCCTTAGGAAGATACACTATTCTAAAACTATGTAAAAGGACAGCTTTCTTAAAATTTAAACTTAAAATTGTTTCTCAGAAGAGAGAAAAATTAAAACATGAAAAGCACATATAAGGATAAAGAGGTCTGCCTGAAGGGATGTAGAAAAATGTAATTTTAGATTTAAAACTCAGATTGAAAACTGATTTTTGCCTCAAAGATAAATATTCTCAGTAGTCTAAACCCATGGCTCTTGGGGTTCACATC